TCCCTCACCTCCTTCCTCCTTCCTCGTTCCTCCTTTCTCCTTCCTCAACCTGTCTACAACTCCACAGCCTGGCTAGAGGTCCATCTCCCTCACCTGCATAGCCTATAGTTGCTCCTACGTCTCCCTACTACTCCACCCCTCCAGCTCCACCTTCAACCTCCACAAGCTCCGCTGAGTTCTTCGACTACGGAGAGCAGCAGCATGACTACCGTCTTTGAATAGAGCGCACAGACATTATCCCCGTATCTAGACTGAAGTTGCCCCGACTACAGGTATAACTGTTGTATGTTGTATTCGGGGGAAAACAACAACAGGTCAATGAGAGAAGTGCTCATTGTCTACATCTACACTACTATAAGAATCACTATTTCTTATCGCACGGCCTGAATCGCAGGCCGGTAACGCGCCGCGGACGACCCATATCGCAGGCTGATCAGAAAGTTTTTTGATCGGCCTGCGATCTGGGCCGTCCGCGGCGCGTTACCGACGACGACCCAGATCGCAGCCCGGCGCGCGCCGAATTGCAGGCCTGCCCACCCCTCAAATCGTGTCCCATCCCTCCGCCCACCCGTCTGGCGTAATCGTGGCGCCCCCCGCCGAATCGCCCGCGCGCCTGTTTTTTGGTTGGCGGCCCGCCCTTCCAATCGCCCGCGCGCAATGTTGTTGCCGCCCACGACACTTTCGTCCGCCTTTCTCAACGTGCGCCTTTGTGGTCCGTGGTCGGTGTGCGTTGTCGGAGTTAACACCCTTACAAGGGTATTCGCTCATGAAATTGCACTCAATATAGTGCCGACGCCGGTTACCATACTAGAGTGGTCGAAAGAGAGAGGGAGAATTTTTTTTCCATATTATTAAAGGCTGTTCAGCCAACCGCTAAGGACAGGGTGATCTGAGAGGATATTCCGCCGCTAAGCCAAGCGACGGCCGGTACCGGCCTGAAATAACCTCGAGGAGCAGGCTTTGGGCCTGTTATGCACCAAAAGAACCGGGCCTATACTCTACTTATGGCTGAACCGCTCTTGTTCTAACTGAACTAGGAGCTAGCCTGATAGGTATAAGCATAAATTACTAATAGACTGAATTATGGATCGAATTTGCTTGGCCTCAGGCTAGCTCCTTTTAAGAAGGAGCTCCACTGCATTTATGCGTCACACAAAGTTTGGCGGGACTTGAACCCGTGACCTTAGGAATAGGACTAGCTAGTGCTAGTTGTTAGCTCGAAAGTGTCTACCCGACACTTGGCACAACGGGGTAGTTAGTTGTTAGATTCTGTTGTTTTGTTTTGTTTTACTTTTCTTTTTTTTTTTGTTATTATTTTTCTACCTTTTCTTTTCCCGTAATTGCTCCCTCACGAATCACTACGATGAATCCGCCCCCAAAACCCAGGCCGATTCGTTCGAACTCGTTGGCCACGAATTTGGCCGAGATCGCGAAGGTAGGACTGACGCATCTCAGTACTACAGCGCCACGTCGCGAGGGCTAACAAAAGCCCCGGGAGGAAGAACGCGACAAGGAGCCGGAGACAGAAGAAAAGCGCAGCCAAAAGCGGAAAAGATGGGAAGCTGCAAGAAGCGGGAGGTAGAGGAGGCATAAGAGAGGAGGAAGAAGAGCGCTTACCGGATCACGTGGGAAGTCGATTGCAGGCTGTGAAAACGAAGGCGCTCGCCTCCGGTAGTCAGCCTCCGACAACCTCATCCTGTAGGTTTCGAGAGAGCGGTTGTGGTCTCATTGTGGCATTGCTTTCGTATCCGCACTTACCGCAACGCATTCCGAACGTCCGGAGTCAGGGAGGAAAAAGGAAGAAGAAGGAGAAGGAGGAGGAGAGAGAAGAAGGAAGGAAGCCAGATCGCTGGAACACTTATCTGTGGAGCATCGATAGTGACATCGACGACGACTACGACGACGACAACTACGGCAACGGCGAAGGAGAGGAATAAAGAGAAAGGAAGGTAAGTCTCACGATCTTGGGTATCTCTACTACTTCTATTACTACTTCTCTACTACTTTTATTACTACTTCTCTACTACTTTTCTTTACTACTTCTACTACTACTACTACTACTACTACCATTACTACTACTGTTACTAAGAATGTGTGTAGGCAAGTGAATGAGCGACGATTTCGCCTCGACTATCGGTCATTTCCATCAACGGGAGAGGGAGAGTGAATGGGTCTCACCCCCCCCGTGCGTCTGCGGACTTACTATCGAATAGTGTGAGTGTGTGCATGAATACAAAGGTGTATGTGTATGTGTGTGTGTGCTCCAAGCTCGTGACTGACCGACGAGGTACCTCCACCAATCTGATGAGCTAAACCGAACGAATCTACTACTGGAACATAGAAGTATACACTACCTTAAGAAGCGCAGGTGTGTGTATGGGCAGGTACGCTCCTATCTCACAGTGGCCTCACATTCATCTACCGCTAAACAAGGCAGTACACTCGGCTACTAGAACGGGTGTGTGTGTGAGTGCGTAAGAGAGAGAGTAAGAGGAAGAGCATGAGAGAGAGGAGAAACGAGAAGGAGGAGAGAAGGAAAGGTTGAGCGATATAAGATTGGGTTACTACATACCTGCTGCGCTGGAGGTATCGCTACGGCTAAACGAGAGTGTGAAAGAGGGAGAAAGAGAGATCAAGGGAAGAGAAAAGGGTGGGGGGGGGGGWAACTTCGATCGATTCAAGGCCAATGAATGGCCTTGCGCAGCTTCCATCGATAAGAATAGGCAAGATCGATCTGATCTCCCGCCATGAGGTAGAGATAATCACTACTGCTATAAAAAATGTGTGTGTGCATGCGTAGATCGCACGCCGGAACTCACGTTGCTCCCGCTAACAGGAAGAACGAAATCGAAGGAATCGACCACTAAGAATGAGGCGATATGAATCGCCCCACTTACTTATGTGCATGTGTGAGCTTGTATGTTGAGTGTTTGTGTGCTTGTGTGTTGTGTGTTCGAGTGTATGTGTGTGGGGGAGAGAAGGAGACGATAAAGTCTCCGATCTTGGCCGTCAGCCAAGTCTCCAACCCGCAGCTCGCCGCACGCTACTAAGATCGATAGAGCAAGCGAATCAAAAAGTGACCGTGTATATTTCCCCGTTTCCACGAAAGATTTATTCTGATTTGCTTGTCCTATCGAAGGAATGGGTGTGTATAAGACATTGATAAATCGACCAGGGAGAGAGAGAGAGGAGAGGATACCCACCTGGCCGTCTCCGCTACTTACCAAATGCGAGGGTGGAGGCTTGCTCGGGACGTCGAAAACTGCCGACAGGCGACGAAGGCAACGAGAGAGAGAGTTTTTCCATTGATAGGATGAGCAACGCTGCTGCCAACAGGTAAGTTTCTCAACCCCGCGGGGCCGCCATTCGTGTGTGTGTATATATGTGTTTGTGTGTGTGTGAGGGTGTGATCGGGAGATTGTCGATCGTGCAGTGGCCTCGCGGTACTTCGATCGACAGGGTGAGCAAAATCGAATGAATCTACCGCTACAACATGGACATATACACCGCCATACTCGTTTGTTCGTGTATGTACTCCAACCCCGCAGCTATCTCACGCTGCTTCTATTGGTAAACTGAGCGAAATCGAGTGAAACTACAACTAACAAAATCGAATGAATCTGACGCTAAATCATAGAAGTGTACACTACCACTATGTGTGTGTGTACGTGCATATGTGTGTGCGTGTATGTGTGTGTGTGTGTGCGATGGATCGCGGGGAGGATCTGCGCTACTTTCATCGATACGTGGAGCATAATCGGATGAATCACCCGCTACGACATGGAAACACGCGTCGCCACTTGCGCCCGCTCGATTGTCGCACCTTCGCCCCGGCTAGCCGCGGGGTCACCTTTCGTGTGTGTGTGCGTGCGAATGCGTATGTGTGTACGTGTGAGTATAAGAGAGAGAGAGAGAGAGAGAGAGAGAGAGAGAGAGAGAGAGAGAGAGAGAGAGAGAGAGAGACGATAAGTCTCCAACCTTGGCCAACAGCTAAGTCTCCAACCCGCCCATCGCCGCACGGTACTCGGATCGACAGAGTGAGCAAAATCAAAGAGTGGGAGTGTATATTTTCCCGTTTCAGCGGAAGATTCATTACGTTTTTWCTCATCCTATCGATGGAGTGTGTGCGTGTGTGTGTGTGTGTGTGTGTGTGTGTGTGTGCGTGTGTAAAAAGCACATGCTACTCGGATCAATAGTGGCAGTGTATATTTCCACGTTTCAGTAAAAGATTCATTCCGTTTTTGCTCGTCTTATCGATGGAATGTATGTGTATGAGACGATCATGATTCGACTAGAGAGAGAGAGAATTGCTCTCTGAAGTTCACCACACACGTTTCGACTAACGGCTGCATCGGGCGGATATGAGCTGACACGTGTTCGTCGTCCTACGTGGCATATTCAGTAGCCAATGCCAGAGAGAGAGAGGGAAAGAGAGAATTCTTACCTGGCTGCATGCGCGCTACACCTATGAATCCAGCGAGTCGATTGCCTGGGGCGAAAGGCCCGGGTAGCCTTCCTAAGGTTCATCGTGTCAGGGATGGATTGTTGTAATTATCGATCTTGAACGAGGAATGCCCAATAAGCGCGAGTCATCGGCTCGCGCTGATTACGTCGCCCCTTGTACGCACCGACCGTCGCTCCTACCGATTGAATGATCCAATAAAGTGTCTCGATTGCGGTGATCTAAGCGGTCTGCCGATGGAGAGTTGCACATGGCATCTGTGAGTGGGGGAACGAGGTCGTGAGTGTAGCGCGATACATACCTGGTGCAGGAAGCGTGCGACATTGGTCGCCATATGCTCGTACTTCGGGAGTGCTGTTGACGTCATCTTCTGGCTTGGTAGTATAGGCTAGATAGGACCTGCTACGTGTAGTCTGGGTGCCGAGCGCCAGATAGGATATCAACTCTGGTTCTTCGTTGAATGATGATGGGACTATTTCAACATTGTCAATTATGAGCTCTTGGTGTGATTCTCGTGAGGCAATGTTGCTGTTGGTACGAGGTCAAGCCTGTCGGGACTGTTTGATTACTGAAGTTCGCTATTTTACGTATTTATTATTATTATTATTATTTATTATTATTATTATTATTATTATTACTATTATTATTAGATGCATGGGTCTACGTGGCATCTATGAGTGGGTGATCGAGATTGTGAGGGGTGCGAAAGACAAACCTGGTGATGCAGGCGAACGGCATGAGCCGAGAATCTGCTCGTACTTAGGAAGTTGTTGACAACATCAGTGGGATCGCAGATGGATTAGATAGGACTTGCCATCTGTAGTCTGGCGCCGAAACGCCAGACAGGATGACGGCATCTGAGTAATGATGATGATGAAGATGATATAAGGGCGGTGGTCTGTATGGGCGACAACTTCAAGTACTTGGGTCGCTGCTGATGTCAACAGTTGCGTTGCCTTTTTGTAGTCTGTAGTAGTTGTGTGGGAGTAGTCGGGACGCTGAGGGCCAAGTGTGGGTGTGAAGGAACTGGACTCATGTGTTGAGAGGAGAGAGTATGCTCTCCGTAGACATTGGTTTTCAGTGCTACGAACCTCCATTGGTGTATTATTGGTGCAATGCTGCCCTCTGGACACAGTGAAACTATCTGGTTTTGGATGTGAAGGTGTGATCTGGACTTGTCATCTCACTACTACTTATTTGTATTTTTATTGTTATTACTATTATTATTATTATTATTATTATTATTCTTACCAGTAGATGCATGATGGTCTGGGGTACACGTGGCATCTGTATGGTGGGGATCGAGGTTGAGAGTGGTACGAGTGACATACCTGAAGCTTGTAGCAGACGGCATTGGCCGGGATCTGCTCGTACTTCTGGAAGCTGTTGACGACACCAGCAATGTTGTAGATAGGCCAGATAGGATCTGCCACTAGTAATCTGGACGCCGAGCCCCAGATAGGATATCAACTCTGGTTCTTCGTTGATGATGATGGGACTACTTCAGCATAGTCCATTATGAACTCTTGATGCGTTCTTATTTGGTGAATCTCGGGATGCAACTCTGCTGTAGGATCAAGGTCAGGATTAACTGGTCTCGAAGGTGTAATGCTGTTTGATTTCTGAAGCACGATATCACTCATTTTCCCTGCATTTTTTTTATTTTGAATCAATATTATTATTTCTTTTATTATTATTCTTATTGATTGAATGATATATTATTATTATTATTATTATTATTGTTATTATTATTATTATTATTACTACCATTGTTATTATTATTATTATTAGTACCTTTTTTTTATTTTGCAGTCAGACTCGCCTTCATTCACACTTTACATGTATGTAAACAGTGGCACAGTAAGCCGGCAACACTCGCCCACTTCAGCTCCGGGCTCGCTGCAGACCACCTCGCGCAAGTCACTATGGCTGCGCTTCCACATGACTCGTGCAAGAATGAATGAATGACTGGGGGCTGCCTGTTGATTTATACTTCTGCAGCTAGTTGGCTTAACCCTTTCCCAAGCCAGTAGTAGTACACATAGTCCCATTCGGTACTTGCTTGACTGGACCGGGACTGACTAGGGACTGGGACCATTGACTCAGCACGAGTACACTCCACCGCCAACCCACTTTCCTCGCCTTAGACATAGGCTTGGCCTTTCGATGCTGTAGCAGCTACAACCTTGACTCTTCGAAGAAACTACAGCTATGACTTCTAGACCTGACTAAGACTCCTACTCGACTGGTCAACAGATCGAGCCCCTGCAATCTGTGGACCTTACAACAACCTATCAACAGTTACGAGCACACAGGTCACGGGATCAACTCTCGAGGTACCAAAAACAGGTAAAGTCAGGACCAGAGGTCTGGCCCTGGCATCTGTATTTCGCTATCTCTTAAAAAGACGATATTGATTCAAATACAGACTAATAAGTGTCACTTCACAAATAGTTAGATACAAACAGACATGAAATGCAGAGACAAACAGACAGGGAACAGAAGTAAACAGCAATAGGAAGACAGACAAAAGCTGACAAAAAGTGACAAACAGCGAGAAATACTGGCAGACAACGCCATACAGAAAGAGACATACAGTAAACAGACAGACAGGGACAAACACAAACAGGCAAACAACAACAAACAGCCAGACGAACAGATGGTTGAACGTGACAATCAAGCAGGTAACCTGGCACAGATAGACATGCAAACAACTAGAAACAGGCGAGCGAAACAGTCAGGAACACACAGACGGACAACGAACAGCTACACGGAAGTACAAAAAACACACACATCCGAAACACAGTCAGACAGTTTCGTCAGATTCTCACCAGCGCGTCTGTAGGGGATCATCAGTATGTGTGTGTGTGTGTGTGTGTGTGTGTGTGTGTGTGTGTGTGTGTATGTGTAAATGCGTATGCGCACAGACTGTGTGCATGGGTTGCCGTAGGTTGCTGTACAGTCAAGGAAAGTACGATTGTGCTTGATTAACTTCACATGTTTTGCACTGAGTTCATTAGAAGAGAGGACCTGGACATACGTTCCGTCCAGGACTCATTTGACTGATGAATAAGAAATCACCACCATGCCCGCAGGTTTGTGCCTGCGTGTATGTATGTGGGTGTGAAGAAGGGTAAGAGAAGGAAGCGGGAACAGACAAAAAGGACCAGATAAGAACGGACAGACAAACCAACAGACACTAACAGTCAGGCAAACAGATGCAAAGGAAACAGACAGACGCATACACGGAGCAAGAAAGAGAGAGAGGGTGATGGTGGTAAAGAAAGGGCACGGACCTGATCTTGGTGACAGTTTGCACCAAACGACACCTTCATACACTCCGGTTCTGCTACTGACATCAACTGAACGCATTGTCAGTTCGCAGACCGCTAGTGTGATCGTAGTCTGGGCGTTGAGCGCCAGGTAGGATATCAACATTGGTTCTTCGTTAATGATGATAATAAGACTTCACCAACATTGTCAATAACGAGCTCTTTGTGTCTTCTCATCTGATGAAACACGTGATGCAAATTTCGCTTTTGGTTCGAGGTCACGACCATCTGGTCTCATGTATATAATGCTGTCTGATTGCTGAAGTGGCCGCTGGTTATTATTATTATTATTTTATCATTATTATTGATATTATTATTATTATTATAAGAGGAATCAGAATCGTATTAGTTCGCACTTTTTCATGCATAAGGACAGGCTGCACAACAAACCGGAGCCGAGCACCCTCTTAGATCTCAGAGGTATGGTAACTCGGAACACAGTTCTGATTCAGGATTCATTTCAATAGCTGTGACAACTCAGCACCCACACAACTCGCTCGGCTCGCATACACAGGATCAACCTGGTTATCCCACGTGCTTGCACACTGACACGCACGCTGATTCAGCCATGGCCGCTCAACCCTGCTGGCTGTGCCTGCGCAGTCTCTTCAGCCCACTTCGTTTTCAAGCTGGCTGTAGACCACCCCGCACAAGTCACAGTCGCAGCACTTCCTCGTGGCTCGCACAGGAAATGGATGAATGACTGGGTACCTGCTGACTGGACAAAGTGCGACTGGGACTGGGTACCTGCTGACTGGACAAAATGCGACTGGGACTTTATTTTGCTGTCAGTGCTAGGAGTGCCTTCGCTGACTCAGCTATAAACTGGTCCACACTTGATCCCTAAGACCTACCTGCGACAGCTAACCTATGGATATGCAGTTCAAACCCTCGCGACCACGCTAGGTACGGGCAACCTGCTGACCCCGTAGCACGAGCCGCTGCAGCAGCACCTCCGCATCATCGACAATAGAATGCATGCATGTTTTGCTCACTGTTCCCTTACTTATACTTGATATTGACTGGGTTCGCCGGTACCGGGCTCAAGCCTGGACATACATTGATACAATTGGCATTGCTGACAAGACTAAGTAGACCATCAGACTGGGGACATATGACTCAGTTAGGATCTGCCTTGGATATACCTATGACACCTTAGATAGGGGCCCTTTGAACTTGGTCGGGCCTATGGCCAGACAAGTATAAAAGGGGATGAAAGTCGGGAATAGTGAGAACCAAATGGCGTATAAAAGGGGATGAAAGTCGGGAATAGTGAGAACCAAATGGCAAAGGAAGGAGAAGGCAGGGTTATGCAGGGAAAAGAAAGAGTGAGAAGTGAGAAAGGAGGAAGGTGAAGAGAGAGAGTGAGGGAAGTGTTTGAGGAAAAGAGATAATGAAAGGAAGAGCGTCCTTTCTTTGATCCTTCTGGAAGTTAGCGGGGAAATGCAACCTTTATTATTATTATTATTATTATTATTATTATTATTATTATTATCTTTATTTTATTATAATAATAATAATTATTGTTTATTATTATTATTATTTATTATTATTATTATTATCAGAAGATTCAGTATTGGTGTTTATTGACTTTATTATTATTTGTCTGACTGAGGACTAAATTGACGAGGATTGTGAGGCATTCGGAAGGAAAAGAATCATCATCGCGTTCGTGATGGTGCATACCCCCTCCGTCTTCCTCCACTCTTATCGTTGATTGATCCTCTCTAAAACCTATCTCTTCAACTATACATATTTAAGAGACGTATGATCACTAGGATGTTCGTGATCTTGCTAAAAAGTCAGAAAATCATTGTATAGACTTGACGTGGACAGGGCGATTGCGGGAGCTCTGCCGGAGTTCAGGAAGAACTCTGGAGGCAGGGAACCATAAGGTACGCATCATCTACTCTTCCCCATATCCCTTACGAACTATACCCCTTGTAAGCAAAAAGCCTGCATATTTATGTGATATACTGTTTATAGGTTTCTTCAGGACTAATCATATCAACTAAGAAAAGTACTATATGATTGGAATGAGAACCTTGCCTGAGGAAAGGAAGGAACCTAGGAAAGCACCGAGAAGGAAACTTAGCCTGCTTGGTTTTGTGACAACAAAGGCAGTTTGATGCAGGCCTCCGTTGGGGTCGTCGCGCTGTCTGGAATAACTAAAAGGGTACGTGTCGTGCAAGCTACCCAGCCTAATTATTTAGCCCTGGACTTCAACATTAAGGATGGGAAGATGCCGTGCGTTTTTCCTGATAACTCAAACAATTAAATCCAAGATTAATCCGGTACTCCCATGAAGTACACGTTTTCAACTGATTTAACTAAGACAAGAACTAATCCGATACTTCTGTGGAATACACCGTTTTCAAATAACTGACAAAAGCAGAGGTAATAGGAGTCTCCCGTGGAGTTCTCTTATCGAAAGATTGGATTAGACTTAAGGAGGGAATTAAGTACTCTCGGGTGAGTACATGAACTCCTGAGTCTAAAACGATCTGTGTTGCCTTCCGTGTAAGTCAACATGCCTTTGCCTAACTTAATAAATGGACTCCCAGGGTAACTATAAATAATCTTGATCCCCTATGTATCGAACAAATATTAGATGGCTTCCGGGAGGGTCATGTTAATACTTTGTTTGATCTGGGGGTCAATTAATAAACTACAAATAATCATGACCCCTACATTTCGAACAGATATTAGGTGGCTCCCGGGAGGGTCGTCTTAATATTTTGTTTGATCTGGGGATCAATTAACAACTACAAATAATCTCTTTATCCCCTATACATCGGACAAATATTAGATGGGTCCCGGGAGTGTCATCTTAATATTTTGTTTGATCTAGGGGTCAACTAACAAAAAAAAAAAAAAAATCTTCATCCCCTATGCATCGAACAGATATTAGGTGACTCTCAGGAGGGTCATCTTAATATTCAGTTTGATTTGGGGATCAATTAATAATTATAAACAGTCTTGATCCCCTATGCATCAAACAGATGTTAGATGACTCCCGGGAGGGTCATCTTAATATTCTGTTTGATTTAGGGGTTAATTAACAACTATAAATAATATTTATCCCCTACACATCAAACAGATATTAGGTGGCTCCCGGAAGAGTCATCTTAATACTTTGTTTGATGTGGGGATCAATTGACAATTACAAACAATTTGGTTCCCTACACATCGAACAGACATTAGGTGGCTCCCGGGAGGGTCATCTTAATACTTTGTTTGATCTAGGGATCAATTAACAGGAAGAGAATTGAGTAACCCTACTACTTGTTTGGCATTGCGTGATTACCAATGACTTGATTAGTTAACATTGGATCCGGATATAGGAGGCTCCCATAGAGTCATTCTATATAAACTGCTTGGCTACACCCTAACGTACCAAGTAAGGCACTTCGGATTGTCTAAGTCTACTGACTTAATCTTGGCTCGTCTGACTCTAAGTAAGTAGTAGGGTGACTCCCGTAGGGTCATCCTTTTACACTTGTGATGATAGACTGAGCTCTGATCAAAGGAGTAATAGGAGACTTCCGGGAAGGCCGCCTATTACTGGCTTGAGCTTTGAATTGACACCTGAATCTGAAATGGGTTTTCGAACCACTTATCGTAACTAATACTCACTTGTGGGTTATTTGGTCACTCGCGCATGATTGCTTGAATTGTTTGATTGCATGAATTGTATGGACCATGAAGGGTGGTTGAGTGCTTCCGTAGGGGAAACTCGACTACTCGTATGGCTAACCTTTTGATTTGTAATTGATCAAGTAGTGGAAGATTCCCGGGTGAATCTACCCGCGAATTGCCTATGTCAGGATAAGAAGAATAAAAAGGAAAAGGGAGTGTTCCGTCAGGGGCGATTCCAAAAGTCCATAGAATAGAAGACAAAAATTGCAGGGACAAAGGATTAGGAAAAGAGAGGCTTTGCGTAGCCTCAGTTTATTTGAGTAAGCTCCTAATGAGGAGTTGTCAACAACATGAGTTAATCTCAGCTAGACTACCTCATAAAGCACTAGAGGATGGGCTTGTCCACAAGAGAGAAAAAAATAYAAGTACTGAGAGTTGGGCAAATATGAGTTCCCCTAAGACGACCTATGACATAGAAGGAAGAGTGACAGATGACTTAAGGTAGGTAGAAATTAGGGATTAGACACCGGGAATTGGTCCCAAAGATCACGAACCAAATCTAAGGGCTTGACCCTTAATATGTGGGAATCGAGTGGAGATGTTGAATCTTTGTTGACCTGTGTGCGTGCAGGTCTCTGTATTGGTCTACTGCAATCAAAGGA